GTATGCAAACATAACTTTGCCCTTTTTTTTAATGCCTCTGAGTCTTGCCATGGTTTGTGAAGTCTTCTAATAGCTGTTGTCCCTGTCATAAAAGAAATTTTCAAGAGAAAGCAGACCACCAAACATATTTAGGCAGAGCCCCCTCTCATTTTCAAATTTCAGATGCCTTATTTAAGGATGCAGAAAACAAAAAAGAATCCCGAGTCAACATTTTCTAGACAATCAAAATTATAAAGTGAAACTTACCTTGTCCTTCAATAATATTCCTAAGGATAAAAGTAGCTCCAAGTCCTTTTCCTGCTCTCTGGATGCAAATTCCCAGAAACTGACTGATTTTTCCACTGGCATATGGGTCAGCTGTAGTAACACGAAGTATGCTTCCTACAAATTCAAAAGAGAAGTGAACATTGATATGAGATGCAAAAACAAATAGCACTTCTAGGTAACTTCCTGAACATTTTAATATAATATCAGGAATAAGTACCTCATATGGGCAAAACCCAGTTATGTGAAAAACGATCTTCTCTACACAAAGAAAACTAACTATCCAACCACTCATAATAAAAGCATTCAGCTCTTACTGACCAACATAGAACTCTGGAATGTTGAGTACTTTTCTCCTTTCTAACATATCTTTTCTTTCTATTTGAAATTTCAAAGGATTTGTTCTTCCCCTTGGAGGAATGAATTCAGGACTCAAGAACCTGTGAAAAAAACAAATTAAAAATAAATTAAAAGCAAACTTAAAAGGCCACTAGAAGAAAAATTGTTGGATTATAAAGAAATAAGAGAATATGGTGTTGATGTGTTTTTATTCTTCACTCTCTAAATAAGAAAAGTCGATCTTATTTCTAAAATTGCTGTTGATGTGTATGAAAATAACTAACAGTTCTTGAATACTAACCTGGCATTTTGTTAAAAGTTTTATTAAACATCTATAGCATAAATTAATTCTTATAGCAACCAGGTGGGTTTGGTGTCATCACCACCTTTTTACAGATGAAGATGGAGAAGATAAATAACTGACCCATTACTGTATTAGCTACAGATTTGTTAAGTCAAGATTTAAATGTAGGCATGTCTGTCAGTCTTCAAAGTCTATGACCATA